AGCTGAATGAGATGGGTGAGCTGAGTACATGTACAGGGTGAGCTGGGTAGAGCTGAGTGAGACCGGTGAGCTGAGTACATGTACAGGGTGAGCTGAGTTGAGCTGAGTGAGTCCGATGAGCTGAGTACATGTACAGGGTGAGCTGAGTTGAGCTGAGTGAGTCCGATGAGCTGAGTACATGTACAGGGTGAGCTGAGTTGAGCTGAGTGAGTCCGAGTCTGGTGAGCTGTGTACATATACTGGGTGAGCTGAGTTGAGATGAGTTGAGCTGAGTGAGTCGGAGTCTGATGAGCTCAGAGTGTTTACTGTAGAGCTGAGTTAGACCGGTCTCACTCAAAGTGTTTACTGGAGTAGTGACGGACTCAGGGGTGCTTCATAGAGGTGAATGGATGACTTATGAGTTATTTAGGAATGGTGGTGGAGTTCATCTCACCCCATCTCACCCAGCTCCAGCATGAATACGGTCCCAAACCGAGGATGATGACACATTTATCATCGGTTTAAAACCGAGGTTTTCAGGTGACACAGGTGTAAAATAGTTGTTTTGCTATCCTGAAGTACTCAAACTTCTTTCTTCAATTCCAATTCTATCACCTTCTCAACTTATCTCCATTCTTCACTCTGAAATTATGTCAATCAATATTTTGTGGCAAATTGTGTAAGCAAACACCCAAATCATTGGAGTCATTTTACCAACCTGATATGCATAATTTGAATTTTATTTTTCCATCAAAAGGAATAAAAATTTAATCATAATATTCAAAAATTCTCAAATGAGCTCTAAGATTTCACTCAATCAAATGGAACCCTGTGCATCTAAAACTCAAAGTGATATAAAACATCTTCAGCTAAGCTCAAGTGTGACCCACAGAAGTCAGAGTGATTCAGTTTGAATCAAATACCCATGGCCACTGCAGCTTTAGGATAGGATGTGGTGTAAGACTCAAAAAGTGATTGTAAGATCCTTTTTGCTGAATGGAGAAAGGGATGAATGAGCTGCAAACTCTGCCTTTCTATTTTTATCCGAAAACAAGACCACCAAGGTAAGCTTGGCAGTTTAGTTAATGATAAAGGATTATGTTCAAATTTGAGTGTATAATTGTTGAGGATTGATCTTATTGTTGATGTTGTTTCTTGTGCTGATGTCTTGATTCTAATGTTCTTCCTTGATGCTGTATGTGTATAATGTAATAGAGTTGGTTCTTGAACCCAATAATGCTGGGAGCTATATGCTTCAACCAGGACTGGAACAAAGGACTGGCTCTTCTGTGTAATGTTTGTGAAATGAACTGTGTATATATTTCAATCTGTGAACTGTAATACTCGTGAACTTCTTGTGCAATAAATCCAAACCACCTATTTCACAAAAAAATAGCAAATTTGGCGATAATTTCTCTTTGCAGAGGCATCTTTGTGGACCTGAAGTCCTGGAACCTCAAGTCTCTTCATGCCTCAAAGCCCTCCCCTTTTATATTCATCAATTCCCTCTTCTTACAACCCCTTCTGGTTCGTCACGCAATTGCTAATCAAGACTCCCCTCGACACCTGCTCAAATTATTTCCTCTTCCATCCAGGCCTTTGTTCACAATTTGAAAATAACAATAAACATGGCCTGACTAATTATCCTCATCCGTCGACTCCATCGATTCATCACTCGGGACTAATGCCTCTCCATCTCTACATTTGTCCTGGATACCAGTCCCCTTTTCCTCCTTTTTCCTATTCTTGTCTTTGTTCCATTCCAAATTTGCTCGACCTATTCTCGGCTTTACCATTCCCTCTCTTCTGTTCCTTTCCCCTCCCCCTGTCTACTATTCAACTCTTCTCCCTACGCATAACTTTTTCCTGTGCTGAAAATAATTCCCAAACCTAGCCATGACACCTAACCAAAAAACGCAAATGCATCCATTGCCATTCCCATTTGCCACCTCTAAATTTCTATTCCTGTCCGTCAATCCTGTACTCCTATCAAATTTTATCTAAATTTGACAAACAACTTGCGTCTTGCCTATACCGCTCCGTAACTCTCTCTCATCTTTCCAAGGCTACTCTTCCCAAATCTCATTATCAACCTGTCAATTCTCTTCTTCTGCGAAACAAATTGTAAATAATCTCTCCACATACTCATTTCCCACAATCCGTGCCTTTTCCATTGCTATTGTCTCCTTATTCCTCATCTCCTTATAACCCTAAAACCATCTATAACATGCAGCCCCCCCTTTTCTGTCGACTTCTCTTTCCTAAACCATACTATTCCTGCTATCCTCCACAACCTCCGGTGTACATTGATACTTCTCCTTTTCCATCGGCTTTTCTTTCCTAAACCGAACGATTCGAAGTCATTTTCCTAATCCACACCTAGGTTCCGCATCAAATCAGACCCAAGAAAAGATATGATAACCCAATCTGATCCGATTTGATTTCAATGATTTCTGGATCCGTAGTATTATGGAGAACATTTTAATTCAGGATCTCTTATCCCGCCAAATTCCATGCCCAAACGCCTGTTGAATGAGCCCATATCTTACACAAAAAGCTGGTCAACATGAGCAAGAGTTTAGGTCATAACAAGAGTGTCAAGATCCGCACTCAAGAAGCTGCTATTTGAATTATCGATAAGCAAGGACCGTTGCATAACTTTGCCAATAGAGACCATACAGATGAGTATGTACACTGATCACACCTCCATCCTTTCTTTATTTTTTTCGTTTCTAAGTCTCCAGAGTTAAATTTGCTTTTCATTTGCTGCTGGTATTTTAATAAAAAAAATTCATACATGGTGACGATTCCATTGATATTTGGGAGATTGACGACAGGAGATTACACGGACAAAGTAGCTTTGGATCTGCAAATTGATGAATTGCGCGCAAAGATCATCTGCACAGAGGAGAAGAAGTACAGCGCTGAGTACCATCCACCCAACAAACGCTCAATCGGAAATGCAATCATGATCGAATTGAAGGACGGTACGGTCTTGGACAAGGCCGAGATCAAGTATTCTGTTGGACACAAACCTCGTCGAGAGGAAGGAAAACCACTCTTGGATGCTAAGCTCAAGAGACACATCAAGACTCACAATCGTCTTCCTCTCTCATCCTTTCAAAACACCCCTACTTCATTTTATTAACTTGTCTCTTTGGATTTCTATTTTCATGTCAATCCGGTCAATGAATCTTCTCTGAAAATCAAAACAAAAAACAGTTCCCTAAGGAACAAATAGCCAAGATCCTGGAAGTCGTTAATGACCAAAAGACTTTGGAGAACTTTGACGTTGACAAGTTCATGGATCTCTGGGCCAAATCTTAAGACCACAGACCAACAACCCTACAACAAACAAAAAAGTAAAAAAATGCAAAGAGTGATTGTGTATTTCTTTCTGTTTTATTGATCTCCAGCATAGCTTCCTAAATATAGCCTCTTGTGACAATGTAAGCCACCAAGATTATTGAATTTTTCAGTGCAAAAAAATCCCGATGCAATTGCTATAGTGTTGTGTTCATGTACTCCATCAGAGAATGCAGGGGCTTAGCAGGTACTCTCAATCAATCAGGAATTGATAGTGTCAAATGTGCTGCTCTGATGTGCACATGCCAGACAGAAGCACCCTCAGTGTGAACTGCGTAGCATGGCTACATGCTAGGTAATTGGTTTCTCAAGTCTTGAACTCTTTGCACCACATTAGATATTGACAAAGTAGTCTGCCATGATGTGATACTGTGTTACTTTCTTCATGTTTCTTATTGACACAAGGATCATGTTTAAAACACTGCAGGACTAGCGAGTAGAAGAGGAATGGGCCCTACCTGTTAGGTTTGACGATAACCCCTTACGGGGATGTTATTTTACACCAACAACATTGGTTTAGCATCATGTCAGTGTATCACTACCTACTCAAAAATACTCAATATTCACCCCCCATGCAAGAAGACTTTATGAATCTGTGACAGGGTTCTCTGTCCAATAGTCTTACATGACATGCAGCACCTGTGATTTCACAGGTCTCTGTGCCATGCATGAGAAATGTGTGGGACACAGCCAAGATGTCACAAGCACAGTGACTGGGCAAAGGTGTTCATAGGACTGCCACCCTCATGACAGCTACATGGCTTCAACTCATCTAAACTTCACAAAGGGTGTTCAAAATTGATTTTTAGAGCACATTCTACATAAACTCAAAAAATTCTACAGCGTTTTGAGAAAATCCCCAGGGCCCAAATAGAGAAACATTGTAAGCTTCATGAAATTGTTGTTTTGGATGTGCTGAAAGTAGGTATGCCAGTGCTGCTATTGCCAAACCTCTGGCTAAGGATGGCCTTGCAAATGGAACAAGACTTATGGTCAGGTATATCTAGCCAAAAATTATCCAGGCTGAGATCTTGAAGCGCCCCCACACAGGAGGTATACATATATTCATGAGCCAACCTCAAATTCAGTGTGCCTTGTTCTAGGTTCAAGTATCTAATTGTCAGTGCTTTTTGCTTGAAAATAAATAAATTTCAAGGTCAATCATTAGACAAAGTAGGAATTTTCTTTCCGGGTCCTGTTTTTGGACAAGGCCAGTTTGGCAGTTGTATGTTGGATTGCTGTGTGTTACTTCATTAAATAGTCTTTGTATTGGTATGTTATCAGACTATGCAGACACAATCACCTCAAATGTTGTACAGTCTCCTCCCAGATGTTTATAGCCATCTGTTTTGAGCTCCACACCAGGAACCCAAGAATTTCAAGTCACAAGATTTTGTGGAATGGTGGAAAATGGGTCTCAAAGAATGAATATGAAAAAATAATAATGATAAACAAGATTATAAAATTTGTAAAAAGTGAAAAGGAGAAAATCACAAAAACTGACAGCTCTGATATTTCTTTCAGGAAAAGATGAAATCTCCCAAGTGATAGTATGAGATCTGGAATGAATAATAAGAAGTGAAAATTTGGATAAAAATGACAACTTGGTGGTTCAAAAAGGGTGCCTAGGGGGTCATTCATCAAGAAATGTGGCATTCTGGTACTGCAATCTACTAATTGTGACTGCAGGGTGTCCACCCACCATGCTCAAACTTTTTTGGGATCAATATTTTTCATTTATAATCATTCTTTTCATGTTCCAA